CTACAAGAGCTAGTTCCAGGACAGACTCCAAAGCTATAGAAAAACCTGCTTCGAAAAACAAAAAACCCAAAAACCCCAAAAGTCAAAACAAACAACAAAAAAGTTCATCATTCCTAGCAATCAGGGAAATACAAATCAAAATACCTTTGAGATTTTTATCTTTTTTTTTTTTTTTGGTTTTTCAAGACAGGGTTTCTCTGTGGTTTTGGAGCCTGTCCTGGAACTAGCTCTTGTAGACCAGGCTGGTCTCGAACTCACAGTGATCTGCCTGCCTCTGCCTCCCAAGTGCTGGGATTAAAGGCGTGCACCACCACCGCCCGGCTTTTCTTTTTTCTTTTTTTTTCTTTTTTTTTTTTGTGAGATTTTTATCTTACCCCAGTCAGAACAGCAAAGACCAATGGACAATAAATGTTAAGGAGATGGGGAGCTCTCATTCATGGTTGGTGGGACTGCAAACTGGTACAGCCACCATGGAAATCATACGACTCAGCTACCACTCCCTGGCGTATACCAAAAGGACTCAACATTCTACTCTGACGATGCTTGCTCAGCCTTGCTTCTTGCTGCTCTAGTCACAATAGCCAGAAAATGGAAACATCCTAGATGTCCTATAAAGGAGGACAACAAAAATGTGGTCCATATACACTATGGAATACTATTCGGTTGTTAAAAAAAAAAAAAAAAAAAAAAAAAAAAACAAGCAAGCAAGCAAGCAAACAAACGGAAACCATGAACTTTGCAGGTAAAGGGATGAAACTAGAAAAGGCCCTGTTGAATGAGATATCACAGACCCTGAAAGTTCACCCACGTAGAAAGCTCCTAGCTCTAATCTCAGGTGTGAGCGCATACCCTAGAGCAAGTGCAGAGATCAGGAAGGTGCAACAGAACCCTTGCCAGGACATGGGGTCTCTCATCAGAGATGCTGCTCCCTCGAAAACCACCTAGCAAAAACCCCAATACTAAACAATGACAAGAAGAGAACCCCTCTTTTGCATGTGTATGGTTTTTCTTTTTCTTTTTCTTTTTTTTTTTTCCAAGACAGGGTTTCTCTTTAGCTTTGGAGCCTGTCCTGGAACTAGCTCTTGTAGACCAGGCTTGCCTTGAACTCACATAGATCCACCAGCCTCTGCCTCCTGAGAGCTGGGATTAAAAGTGTGCACCACCACCGCCCGGCTGAGAACCCCTCTTTTGAATTGTTGGACATTCAACATTCCCAAACATGCAGCTCATTCCCATTGGAGGGTAAGTCCTTATTATTGCTGAAGACGGCATGTACTTCGGAAAGGGCCCAGAGACCCCTGTGCTGGAGCTGCCCTGAAAGCTCCTCCCTGAGGACCAGCTCTCATGGGACAAGAAGGCACTAGGCATGCTTCTCAAGGAGGAAGTCAACTAAGAGTCCTTACAAGCTGTGATGCCTATGAACCACATCAGAAACTGGGAGCAAGAGAGGTGGTCCTCCCCAGGGAAGAGCACACCAATGGGTTATCCAGTGCCAAATGGTCAGCCCTGAACCATACATACGTGTAACATTATACAGACTGACCAGGCTATATCTAGGACTATGTATATGTATCTATACATATATATTATCCAGAAATACATATGTGCATACGAAAATGATAAGAAAAAAAGGGAGACTCTGAATTTGGAAGAAATCAGGGAGGATTTGGAGAAAAGAAAGAGAAAAGAGAGGGCTGGAGAGATGGTTCAGAGGTTAAGAGCACTGACTATTCTTACAGAGGTCCTGAGTTCAATTCCCAGCAACCACACGGTAGTTCACAAACATCTGTAATGAGGTCTGGTACCCTCTTCTGGCCTGTAAGCATACATGCAGGTAGAACACTGTATACATTATTAATAAAAACATCTTAAAAAAAAAGAAAGGGGGGAGCTGGAGGAATGGCTCAGAGGTTAAGAGCATTGCCTGCTCTTCCAAAGGTCCTGAGTTCGGTTCCCAGCAACCACATGGTGGCTCACAACCATCTGTAATGGGGTCTGGTGCCCTCTTCCTGACTGTAGGCATCCACATACTGAATATTGTATACATAATAAATAAATAAATATTTAAAAAAAAAAGAAAGGGGAAGGAGAAATGTTGTAATCAAATTATAATCTTAAAAAATAATAATTGCTGGGTGGTGGTGGCGCACGCCTTTAATTCCTGCACTTGGGAGGCAGAGACAGGCAGATCTCTGTGAGTTGAAGGTCAGCCTGGTCTACAGAGCAAGTTCCAGGACAGGCTCTAAAGCTATAGAGAAACCCTGTTTCGAAAAACCACACACAAAAAATTAATAATCCAGGCCTCCCATTGTGGCCCACACCTTTAATTTGGGAAGCAGAGGCAGGCAGATCTCAGTGAGTTCCAGCTCAGCCAGGCTACATAGACTCTGTCTCAAAAATAAACTTCTGCTTTGCTAGACCAGCAACTTAAGTGGTATTGTCTGGCTCCCCCTCCATCTTAGATTTGTCTGTACCTTGAACAGAGAAATAGCCATATGAAGCCTGTCCCAGAAGGAAAACAAGGCGAAGGGAGTCTCCAGGAAGAAAGAGAGCTGTTAAATTACTCGTGTTTATTTATAACAGACCTTCAGCCAGTACAGTACAAAACTTACAGTAGTATTTCTCCATTACACAAATATTTACTTACAGTATATTACATATATAAAATGCTTTGCAGGAAGTCTCAAAAGCTGGTTTAACTCCCTTTGAGGAAGGAGAAAACTCTTTAAAAAGAGGGAAGGGGGAGGGTAGGTAAGGAACCGGACAAAGAGAGAAGAGGTGAAGGGGCGAGGGTCAAAAGGGACACCAAACAGGCTGCAAAGGAACCTGGGGGAGGAGGAGAGGTGGTATTGCACTTGCTTCTGTGTTTATCCTATTTTTGATCTTCATAATTTCTGATTAAAAATATATATATGTTATTTACACAAGGAAAGAAGCTGCCAGAAGTATTACAAAATTCCACCTGCAGCTTAGACACCGACACACACATACACAAAGGTCTGGAAAAGTGTCTGTTTAGAAATTCTCTCCCTCCCCCCTACTTTTTTGTGGTGTTGTTTTTTCGATTAGTAATTAAAAAAGAAAACACCTCTTTTCTCTGTGTGGGTTTTGGTGTTTTGTTGTTGATTTTTCTTCTTTTTCTTTACTTTTTTTTTTTTATGCAAAAGGAGCTGGGAGAGAGCATGAGGATGTTTGAGGTTCCAGAGCTGGAAGGCTCTGGAAAGTAGGATTTTGTACCGAAGACCCTGGTTAAAGTGCAGTGATGGGCTGGAGAGAAACGGGGTGTCCCTCTCCTCCCTAGCACCTGGTCTTGGGGGCACAGAGTATAGCCTCGGAAACCTTCAGGTTTCTGGGGGTTACAGGTGCTAAGGCTGACTGAGGAAGGGAGGAAATGGGGTACTCAAAGGCTCTGATGCCCCAGAGGAACTAGTTCTTCTGAGGTATCCCCAGGTACACGGCAGACACACAAGTGGTGGGAGCAGGAAGAGGCTCAGGAGCCAGAACAGCACAGGAGAAGCACAGATACTAACCTCGGCTCTGCTGCAGTCCCAAGGTTGGTTGCAAAGACCCTTCCCTTCTCTCGGGACCACTCCCTTGGGAGCTCGCACCCCAGGCTCCACCTTTGGCAGCACCTGTTTATTGCTACTTTGTCAAGGAGGAAGAACCACCCCACCAAGCTCCTCCCTGCCAGTCTGGCCCTTCTGGGAAGCCATGGTAACACAGGAGAAGAAGGGAAGAAAAAGAAAGCTTTTCCACCCCACCCTTCTCATGATGGGGAGAGTAGCGTCTCCAGAAGGCTAAGAGCCCCAGTCCCAGGATCCTGATCTAGCCAACCCTCTCATGCCTCTCCATGTCCCTAATAGGGAATGAGAAAAGGAGAGAGGCAAAAGAGCCAACCGAGGAAGGGCACGTGGAAAGAAAGATGGAGGGAAAGGGAGAGAGAGAAGAGAAGACCAAGACTTATAACTTATGAGGTGCTGTGTTTGGTTTCTACTTTTTTTTTCTTATTTTCTTTAAACATAGAAAAAACAGCCTTTGGTTTGAATCTCAAAGAAGCAGAGAGTGGGATGGCTGTGGCCTTGGCAGGGAACTCTTTATAGAGAGAGCCGTGCAGTGGGGCTATGACTTCTCCTGCACGGTCTCATGAATCCTCGATTATCCAGAACCAGGGGCTCTGCAACCACCAGAGAGGGGCAGTGAAGGGTGGCTCCCAGTTAGCTGAGTCCATCCCATCCTTGCTAGAACAAGGGCGGATTGGTCGACGGGCACATACATGCCATTCATCCTGGGACAATTTTTGGTTACACTGAAAATTAGCAGGGAGAAGAGACACATTCCTTTCTCCTTGCCACTGATAATAAGAGGGCCCGGAGCCTGGGAATGAGACGGTGGATCCTGCTGGGAGGGAGAGGAAAAGGCAGCATGACAGATGGGGCTGAGCCCCTGGTCACTGGGCAGTAACCCACCAGTTTCTCACACAGCGGGGACAGCAGGGGTCCCTGAGAGCCGAGGAAGGTCACTGGAGTGAGCAAGTTTGAAGGGTGGAGGAGAGACTTCTACCCACCCCCTTTCCCATGCCCTGGTTCTCAGCTAGGCTCCCCGTGTCAGGCAGGGTTGCGGACCTAGCTTTAGCCCCTGAGAGTAGAAAATGGGGGCGTTCCAAGAAGGGAAAAGCCACCAGTGAGGGACCTGGCAGGTTGAGACCAGAGTGGTGTGGAGGAGTGAGCCAGAGAGAGGGAGATCCTGAATGGAGGCTTAAGGAGCTTGCATTCCCAGGTGAGGTCAAGAGGACCCTCAGTCCACAGTTCCTGGAGAGTTTCTACAGCCCTCCTACTTCCCATGAGGAAATTCTTCGTTCGTGTAAGAATAGTGCAAGCTGCCTAAAGTGAGAGGGCACAAGAGGTATGAAGTACCAGGTCGGAGGGTCCCAGAGAGGAGATAATAATGCCACAGAGCTCAGGTGGGGCCGCTGGGAGGTATCAACATCCAAAGAGTCGGATAAGTAAGGGAGCGGATTAAAGCAAGAAGCTCGGAGTCCCTTAGTACAAAGAGGAGCTTCCAGGCCCTGGGGCTGTCGGAGTATGTGGGGTCGACAAGAAAACAAGGCTTAGAGCAGAAGGGAGAGTGAAGGAGTGGCCAGAGGTCGCAGTAAGTCTTCAAAGGCCATGGGAAAGTCATTAACAAACAGCAAATATGCCGGGAAGAGAGGGGTTCAGAAGGAGAAATATAAGCAAAAGACTGGTCTCGTCGCAATGCTTAACTCAGTCAGGGAAGAAGGGAACCGGCGAAGAGGGTCAGAGTCAGGTGAGAAGTGAGGTGGCCAGTGGGCGGGGCGACAACGCGAAACTCCTCGGGGTGTAATAGGAATCGGGCTAGAAACCTGTAGTGGGGCAGTGGATGGCAGGCTGCGGGCAGGTGAGGGGAAAGAGCTCGCTAGCCCACCTTATGTTCCCCCCGGACAATGTGGGAAGAGAACTCATACCGGTCCTGGCTGTGGTAACCACAGATGTTACACTCGAAAGGGTCTCTGAAGCCATGGCAGCCCATGTGGATGGTGAACATGACGTGGTCCAGGAAGAGGATGCGGCAGTGTTCACACTTAAACGCCTTCACAGGCTCGCCGCTCTCACCCACCACCCGAAGCACTTCCTTGGAGGGGCCTGGGGTGCCCCGCAATAACCCCTCCTGTGGTTTGGGGTCCTCTTTGGCATAGGCGGGACTGTGCCGGCCCACCACGATGGTGGGGGGAGGTTGAGGTGGGGGACCCTGAGGGAGGGACACCACCCCGCCAATCCGATCTTCGTGGTTGCTCTCTGTGTCTGTGGAGTCCTGGCAGCCATTGCTGGGGGATGCCCCAGGGTCAGTCAGAGAGCCTCGGGCCCGATAGAGAAGGGGACCTCCGTCTCCCAGGTCCTCGGGTCCCTCACCTGCTTCTCGGGACCCTGGAAGCTCCAGTCGGCTGGGGAGGGGCTGCATCTGGGTGTACACAGAGCTGATGACCGGCGTGAGTTCCGAGATGCAGTTGGTGGGTGGGAGGCGGAGGGGACGCAGATGCTCTGTACCCACGAAGGCTAGAGAACCTCCAAAACCAGGCTCTAGGCCATGGTGCGCCACCAACTCCACATCCTTTTCATAGCCACCGCCAGGGTTCACATCATAGGGGAGGTCGGAGAGGCTGAAGCGCATCTGCTTTTCGCCTGGGGAGAGTAAGATCTCGTCAGGACTAGGTTTGACTAAGCCCCCAAGTTATGCCCAGAATTCCTTCTTTGTTTTCTAACCATGGGGCCGACATCACAGATGCTAAGCACACATTCTACCAGGGAGCTATACCAGTAGTCCTAGGTAACATGGTTTACCACACCTCATTTACTTCCCAGAGGGTCAGGTCCGAGGCAAACTGGCGTCTAGGGCAAGGTGTCTCTATGAAGTTTCAGATCTTCAGCGAGAGCTTGCCGTTTGCAGGTCAGAGAACCACATGTTCGCTTCCTCTCACCGGCTCTAAGGCCATCCCACACAGGCTGATCCTCGTCGTTTTCAAAAGATGGAAAAGCTTGCCTTTCCTGTGAGTCCTCAATACCGACCACTCTCTACTCTGTCTTTTATATGTGTGTGCATGACTGCATATTCATCTCTGTGCTGGAAGACGTGTATTTATGTGTGCATGAATGTGGGGTCAGAGGACAAGCTTGGGTGTCAGCCTCAGGAGCGCGGCCTTCCACCTCCTTTGAAACAGGATCTGTCATTGACCTGGAGCTCACCAATTAGGCTAGCTGGCCTGGCCAGTGACCCCAGGGCATCCTTCTGGCTCTGGCTCCCCAGGACTAGGAATACAGCACATGCCACCATGTCTGCATTCTTTTTTTTTTTTTTTTTTAAATATTTATTTATTTATTATGTATACAATATTCTGCCTGTGTGTATGTCTGCAGGCCAGAAGAGGGCACCAGACCTCATTACAGATGGTTGTGAGCCACCATGCGGTTGCTGGGAATTGAACTCAGAACCTTTGGAAGAGCAGGCAATGCTCTTAACCACTGAGCCATCTCTCCAGCCCCTGCATTCTTTTTTTTAAATATTTATTTATTTATTATGTATACAATATTCTGCCTGTGTGTATGTCTGCAGGCCAGAAGAGGGCACCAGACCTCATTACAGATGGTTGTGAGCCACCATGTGGTTGCTGGGAATTGAACCCAGGACCTCTGGAAGAGCAGACAGTGCTCTTAACCACTGAGCCATCTCTCCAGCCCCTGCATTCTTTTTTTTAAATATTTATTTATTTATTATGTATACAATATTCTGTCCGCATGTATGCCTGAAGAGGGCACCAGACCTCATTACAGACGGTTGTGAGCCACCATGGGGTTTCTGGGAATTGAACTCAGGACCTTTGGAAGAGCAGGCAATGCTCTTAACCGCTGAGCCACCTCTCCAGCCCCATGTCTGCATTCTTATGTAGGTTTTGGGGATTGAAAACTCCAGTGCTCATACTTGCAAGGTACACATGTCACAGACTGAGTGATCTCCCATCTGAGGGGGCATCTGAGAAGTGTGCCATCCCTCTTGAGCACCACAGAGACCACTAGGCTGCTTCTCCCCGCTAAATCCAATCACCAGACCCAAGCCTCTGGTCTGATAGCAATCAACGCTGTGACTGACTGGAGCCATGGCTTAAAGCTGGGGTCTCCTTTCCAACAGGGCTCTTCTCACCTACAAACTTCTCACTTTTTGTTTTGTTTTGTTTTGTTTTGTTTTGTTTTGTTTTGTTTTTTTGAGACAGGGTTTCTCTGTAGCTTTGGAGCCTGTCCTGGAACTAGCTGTTGTAGACCAGGCTGGCCTCGAACTCACAGAGATCCGCCTGTCTCTGCCTCCCGAGTGCTGGGATTAAAGGCGTGCGCCACCATCGCCCAGCTCACCTACAAACTTCTGTGGCGTGGAGCGCTTGCGTTTGGTGAGGCTGTTGGCCAGGCGATCGATGAAAGTTGGCCGCTCGGACGATGAGTGCAGCATCGAGTCAGGCACCATCTCCAGGTCACGCATTTCGTCACCTGGAGGGGAGGGGCAGGTGGTAGCCGGTGAGCATGAGGGCACCGGCCCAGCGGCCTTTGCCTGGAGAAAGCCGGCCACTCAAGGAAGGCCACACCTGTGAAACCGGGCTCTCTCTCTCTCTCTCTCTCTCTCTCTCTCTCTCTCTCTCTCTCTTTCTCTCTCTCTTTTGAGATAGGATCTCACTATTCAGCCCTGGCTGGCCTTGAACTCACTCTGTAGACCAGGCTGGCAATGAACCCACAAGGACCCACCTGCCTCTGTGTTCTGAGTGCTACAACTAAAGGCGCCGGCCACTATGGGCTCTTTGCCCTACCTAAAGCTCACTCTGATAACCCTTCAGACCATTTGAAGACTGATGCACACCTACCCCTTGTTCTTTGTGCTTTCTTTCCCATTAGACTGAAGATATGAATCCAGATTTCCTCTGTGTCTGGATCTCCCTTATAGACTGCCCCAGAGCTGGGCATTCATGGGGGTGCTTAGGAATGGGTGCCTGGAAGGTCTAATGAGTGCAACCTGTGTTGGCTGAGGGGCCAGAGTCACCCTCGCCTGCGCCCCCGGCCCCGCCCTCCGCTGCCGTGAGGTCCTCGCCACAGCCCCACCTGGCTGGCCGGCCAAAGCCTGGGCTTCAGTGCTGAGACTCTGCAGGTAGTTGTGGCACCGCTCCTTGTGCTCCTCCAAGGTGCTCTGCTGTTTGTAGCTCCGGCCGCAGTAGTTGCACTTGTAGGGTTTGCCCACTGTGGGAGAAGAGACTGTGGAGGAGAGAGCACAGGCAACGTGAGAGTAACTGCTGCCTGCACCTGGCTCAGAAGTTTGCAGCATGCAGGAGCAGCTGCATGCTGGCATGCAGAGGAAAGAATCTTGTTAGCTTTTTTTTTGGGGGGGGGATGGGGGAGTGGGGTTGTGATCCCTTCCCCAACTCTACCTACAGCGAAGAAGAGGTGAACCAAATGTGAGGAAGGGTGACAAGGTACAGCTGAAGGAGGGGACCCATGGCACACAGCTTCACACTGGTGGTGGGAGTCTAGATGCTCTGGCTGCTTCTGAAAGGAAGTGACGACCTGGGGACTTAGCAGGGGATCTTCCCTGTAAGTAAGCACAGCAGGCCCCACCCCAGGATCTCAGAGTCTGGGGCTCAGACTGCGGTTTAACCTTTCCATGCTGCAGGCGGGTGTAATAGCTGTTTATCAGACAAGGGGACTTTCTGCTCGCAAGCGCTCCGCTTTGGCTGGAGGAAAATTGGTGGGCTGAGGCGATGCAGAAATGAGAGCCCTTCGATCTGCCCGCGCGGGAGGGGCAGCGAGCGGTTGCTGGCCTTGACTTGTGCTTTTTTACCCTCGTTTTCTCTTCCTGGCCCTATACTGAGACACCGAGAGAGCCCCCAGAGTCTAACACTGATGAGAGAAAGAGACGAGAGCAAAAGGGCAGAGGTGACGGAAGAGGACAAGGAGAACGACCCTGTTCTAATTCCTGCTTTAAGAAGAACGCGTCATAAAGCTCTGAAGGAAAAATGGGGAAACTCAGACTGCAGCTTTGTTTAAACACCTCTCTCTCTCTCTCTCTCTCTCTCTCTCTCTCTCTCTCTCTCTCTCTCTCCCTCTCTCCCTCTCTCTCTCTGAGACAGGGTTTCTCTGTGTTACAGCCCTATCTGTCCTGGGACTAGTTCTTGTAGACCAGGCTGGCCTCGAACTCACAGAGATCCACCTGCCTCTGCCTCCTGAGTGCTGGGATTTAAGACGTGTGCCACCACCGCCTGGCTAAACACAACTCTTAGGAGGCACTTTTGTGTGTGTGTGTGTGTGTGTGTAGAGGAAAACCTCGAAGAGGAACAAGGTACTGTGTATCTGTGTTTATTGCTATCATTGATGAGGGAGGCAGAGGCATCGTTAGGAAGCTGGTGACTATCACTCGCCTACAGACGTCTACAGCTACAACTCAGTTAGCCTTGGTCAGCTGCTCTTCAACTCTAGACGGAGTGCGGAGTGCCTGCTTAAGGGATGAAGTGAGCACAGGGCCTCTCCTCTGAGACCCTGGGGGAAATGGTTTGACATGTCAGGAGGGGACTGGCCCTCTAACCCTCCTTCCTTACCCTGTGATTTGTAACAAGAAGCATCTCACAGAGATGGGACATACACATACGTCTGCTCTCCCCCTAGTCTCCTACGGAACAACATTTGGCATATGGTCAGTTGACGTTGTCAAGAGTTTGGGGGACTGCAGGACATGGTGGTACATATCTTTAATCCCAGCACATGGGAGGGAGATGTAGTTGGATCTCTGTGGTTTGAAGCCAGTCTGGTCTACATGGCAAGTTCTAGGCTATCCAGAGCTACACAGTGAGACCCCTAGAAAAAGAAGCACATGTTTGGCCATGGGGTCTTGATGGAAACAGGCGAGGCTATAGTCCACAACACTGATTTTTCTTCTCCATGGCAACGGTTTCCTTGTTAAACAAATGGGCAGGGCAGAGGGGGGAGCTTTAGGGCTGAGGCTGAAGCTCGGTTGATAGTGCACTTGCCTAGCGTGTGGGAAACCTTAGGTTCCATCTCCAGTGAATCACAGGAATGGTGGTGTGCCCTGCAATCCCAGTACTCAAGAGGCAGAGGCAGGAAGACCGGGGTCAAAAGTGAAGGTCCTTGGCTAAACAGGGGGTTTGAGGTCAGCTTGGATACATGAGACCCCAGTTCACCAAGCAGAGTGCCGGAAGTGGGGCATTTTCACCTGGAATTCATTTCTCACTCCCCTGCCTGTATCTGAAATTCTTATGATGAGCATAAGTTATGACGTCGCAGACCTCTTCTTCCACATGCAGAGACAGAGAGGTCCCCATTACGTGGGAGAATCGGAAGCGAGGCAGGATGGAGGAAGGAGAAGGAAAGAGAAGTTGCTTCAGTGCCTCTCTGTCCCTTTAAGTCCTACTCAAGAGGGCTTAGGAAAAGAGAAAAGCCCGTGGAAGATTCTGAGGCCAGACAATTAATTATTGTTTTGTTTTGTTTTCTGAGAAGGTTTGCTCTGTGTAGCTTTGGAGCCTGTCCTGAAACTTGCTCTTGTAGACCAGGCTGGCCTCAAACTCACAGAGATCCACCTGCCTCTGCCTCCCAAGTGCTGGGATTAAAGGTGTGCGCCACCACCACCTGGATCCAACAATTAATTCTTTACCCTCTTTCTTCTCCTCAACCCTCAGCTCCCTTCTCCTTGCCAGTTCAATCCAACCAGGAGTCCAAAACTTAGTAAAACACCCAGAAAGAGGGTCTGGAGAGATGATGGCTCAGTGGTTAAGAGAACTGGCTGTTCTCCTGGAGGACTCAATTCCCAGCACCCACATGGCAGCTCACAACTGTCTGTAGCTCCAAGATTGACACTCTCACAAGATATATATGTACATATTTTTACATAAAAGTAAAAATAAATAAGTTATTTAAAAAAACACCCAGAAAGCCCTGTTTCTCCAGTTCCTTCCAAAATATTCCAATTCAAAGTCTTCCATTTATTTCATTATTTTGAGAAAGGGTCTCACAGAGCCCAAACTGATTGAATGGCTGACCTTCCTGCCTCTGCCTCTCCAGTACTGGCCCCTGGGTTCCCTCTGGATTTGCTTTTGTCTATGAGAAAACCACCACTTCTTGGGATGCAGAGCAGAAAAGGGACAGTTCTTTCCTATCTGGAGGTCGCAGCTCCCTTCCTTCCAGTTTGGGGGCCCGTGGATATTCATGGGGAGCACTAGGAAGTGGAGGGGAGGGCCTCCGGTTTCCTGGAAGTAACGGGGGAGGAAAGATAGTCCCAGAGTGGGTCCTGGCACAAATGAGAGTGGGAAGGAGCCGCCCAGGGGCTCAGAGTTAGGGCGAGGGGGACACATACGGTGTTAGCAACTAAATGTTTAGAAACTAAACTAAACTAAACTAAAATGTTTAGAAACCAAAGGTCAGGGACAAGCCAGGGACATTAGCCATGCTCGTCACAGAATGTGGCAGTAAAATACCCCAGTGAATGCCAGGCTGTGGGGGGGGCGTGCGCCTTTAAACCCAGCACTCAGAACCGCAGAGGCAGGAGGGTCTCAGTGAGTTCAAGGCCAGCTCAGCTAGGGCTATACAGAGAAACCCTGTCTGGAAAAACAAAACAAAACAAATAAACAAACAAAAAAAACCAGTGAAGAGCCCCACAAATTCCTCCTGAGTCAGCTATCTGCGCTGGCAGTGCTCCGTGAGTGCTCCCAGCCCTCAGTGAAAGACATTGTCCTTCTCCAGGGCAGAGCGGGCTTGAAGCTCTTTTCTGAGCATGCTGGGTGCCCCTCTCTTTGCTCCGGCTGGAAAGCCACTGACCTGAGTGTGTGCGGAGGTGGCCGGTGAGTGCATCACGCCGGCGGCAGGCGTAGTTGCAGAAGGGACATTTGAAAGGCTTCTCGCCGGAGTGCAGCTTGATGTGGCGCAGCAGATTCCCCTTCTGTGTGAAGGAGGCCCCGCACTGGTTACAGTGGAAAGGCCTTTCCCCTGCAGGGGGAAGAACAGGTTCCAGGGGACTGGCTTGAGGTGTGTCCAAGGGAGAAGGGAAAGTTCTCTGAGCACACTGTGGAGGGCAGTGAGTGTCACACAAACCAGGCCTACTGTACAGAGGTCAGGTACCTGGGGCCCTCTTACCCTGGAAAGGTGTGGATTACAGGTGTGTGGTGTGAAAGCAGAGCAGAGTCTAGAAGACCTGCCGAAAGACTGGTACCCAAATACTCCGCGAAGCATTTAAGTAATTATTCTTTCTCTCTCTCTCTCTCTCTCTCTCTCTCTCTCTCGCTCTCGCTCTCGCTCTCGCTCTCGCTCTCGCTCTCGCTCTCGCTCTCTCTTTCTCTTTTGGTTTTTCAAGACAGGGTTTCTCTGTGTAACAGCCCTAGTTGTCCTGGAACTTGCTCTGCAGACCAGACTGGCCTTGAACTCCCAGAGATCTGCCTGCCTCTGCCTCCTGACCATCACCGCCTGGCCAACTAATGATTCTTTATCGGTAAAAGATCAGGAGTCCAGAGAAAAATGTAGAGTTCGATAAAAATCAGTTAAAAAAAAAGAAGGAAGAAAAAAGATGGGGAGTCAGACATTGCTAGGAGGTGACTAGGGACTGGTTGGTGGCTTTTCCACAGCTTCTCTGATCCTTCAGGTTGTTACCCCAATATCCGACTCCTCATCTTTTACTGATAAAAAACAATTATTTAAGCTTATCAGTTCAGAGTCCAGTTGTCCAGGGAGTTCACAGTCTGAGGAGGGTAAGCAGAGGCTCCCTGCGACACCGCCTTTTAAATCATGAGATGAGAAGGCCCTGGAACTCTGTCCCTCTTGGACTGACTATGGGCAGTTCTCCCCGACGTCTACAAACATTTTTTGATCAATCACAAGGCCTTAAACATGCGCCCCCCCACCCCTGATCTATACTGAAGCGTCAGGAATCCTTCTAGAGGCCCAATGCCCACTGTCTCTCCATCCTGAGCAGAGGAGTAGCTTCTTTGTCACAACGGCTGAAGGGAAGGGCCAGGAAGGTACAGATGTTCTGAAGGGTTCACATCCCTTTCTCTCCTTTGTCATCTAGAAAACATGCTCCTGAGTCACCCCCACCCCTGCGGCCGGTCTGGTCTCTTCAACTCCTCCCTACCAATGTCCTAGTGCCCCTTTGCGCCCCTCTGCCTCGTAGCCCCGGCCTCACCCTCCCGCTCACTCACCCGTGTGGCTGCGCTTGTGAACCATGAGCACGTTGGGGCCGATACAGACCATGCCACAGACATCACACTTGAGCTTGCCATTGGGCAGCCGGATGCCACCAGGGGAGTGAGGCTCTGGTCCACTTCCATCGCAGTAGCCCAGGGGCTCTGACAAGGAGTCCTCCACAATCACGCTGTCATCCTTATCCAGGAGCCGCTCGTCTGGCCCCAGCAGTCGGCTCGACTCCTCATCGCTGTACATCTCCACCTTGATGGAGTTGGCTGGGGGTCAGGGGACTGACGTTTAGAATAGGGACAGGCAGAGGGACAGCCACTTCCAGGGCAGAATGACACTTTGACAGGTCAACAGGGAGACTGCAGACTCAGAGACTTACAGTGTTAGGAAGGGCACTTGCCTATTTATTATGTCAGGTGTCGTTCCAGAACTCACCTGAACTGGAAACAGTCTTCCCCACCTACCACCCACCAGGCAACTAGAGTTTAAAAGAAAAAAAAAAGAGAGAGAGAGAGAGGAATACACAGGGTATCTCTGTCAGCGGGCAGAAGAGATGACTTAGAGGAACTCTGCCTGCATTCTCTTGTCATTAAGAAAGATGTTTGGTTGGGTGGTGGTGGCACATGCCTTTAGTCCCAGCACTCGGGAGGCAGAGCCGGGTGGATCTGTGTAAATTTAAGGCCAGCCTGGTCTACATAGTGAGTTCCAGGTCAGCCAGGGCTACATGGCAAGACCCTGTCTGAAAAAGAAAAAGGAGAAAAAAGAAAAGAAAAGAGAAAGAAAGAAAGAAAGAAAGAAAGATGCCTGGGTTGGCCTCGGGCAGGAAGCCAGCGAGTGACAGTGGCGGGAAAGTGGCCCTGGGGAGGCTGAGGGGACAGCAGGCCACCTGAGCAGAACTGAAGACGGCTGTGGCTTATCGTCCCCTATGAGACCGAACTCCATACCTCCATGCCTCTCCCTAGGAACCTGAGGGGACAGGGGACGCGGGAAGAGCTTTGGCACTCGCTCTGACCTACATTCTTGGCTATTTCAACCATTTAGAGAATGTCACAGATCTAGGGCCAGCTGGGGAGGGGCATTGGGGGGGGATCTTGCTTGGCAGGAGAGGGATAGGAGGGGGGGGAATCTTGGTACGGTTCATTTTCTACCTCTCCCTACCCAATGGCCACTTCTGTCTCCAGTTCCAGAATTTTTCTTTGGAACCATTATTCCCCCCTCCACACCCCTGCCCCCCCCCCAGTGTTTCTCTGTGTATCCTTGACTGTCCTGGAAAGCGCTCTGTAGACAAGGCTAGCCTTGAACTCAGAGAGCCACCTGCCTCTGCCTGCCAAGGGCAGGGACTAAAGGCGTGAGCCTCCGTGCCTGCTGGAACCTTTATCTTAATGTTACCCATGCGTCTTTTAGTTTCACCCCGGTCTGACATTAGCCGTTTACTCTTTCAGAAGCTAGGAGAACAGCAGGCACCGGGCTCCTTCCCACTTGAGTCCCCGCGCACGGAAGCAGGAGATGATGGGGAAACAGTGGCCAGGAGAAGGCAAGTTGAGGGCCAAACAAAACTGCAGCCACCCAGTGCCAGGAGTGGAGAGAGGGTCACACTTACCACTGAGTGAGCGGCTGGGCGAAGAGTGCTGGCTGTTTGGGGTGCTCACCGAGGGCCCCACTGGGGCCCCGAGGAACTCCTTCTCCAGAGATGAGTCCCCGCTACCTTGGAGGAGAGAACAGATCTCAGGTAAAGTTTGGGCTGGAGCCGTTACAGTCTACGAACTAATCTTTAAAAAGCTCCAGTTAACTATCGCAAGCATTTATTATATAGCCACGTACAAGGTAGGCCGAACAGGAGTACCCTACCTTGTGCCCCAGAGGCCTGGTGCCCAGTGGTGCCCGTGACTTCCGTGAACTCAGCAGTCTGGCCTACCCTACCTTTATCTGTGCCTGAGGGGGAAGAGCATCACCCGCTGCCCTAACTCTGCAGGAAGCGGGGCCAGGGCTGGGCGGGCCAGGGCAGAACAGAGAACAGGAACCCGACGAGAAGGCGGCATGGGACATTCTTTCCTATTGCTCTCTCTGAGGCTCCCAGTAGCAGCTTTGGAACCTGCAGGGGGCATCTAGAACTATCTAGAACCTGAGGATAACGCTCGTTAACCTAGTGAGTATATCCTTATGCCAGGCTTAGTCTGTGAGCTCAGAACGCACGTTCTCCTTCATGTTTTGTGACCACCTGATGAAACAGGGGCCATAGTATCGCTTTAATTCTTTGGATTAGGACATGCAGAAGAAGTTCACTACCTGCCTAAGTTGGGGTGGAGCCACTGACAAGAGTGCTGAGTCCTTGGCCAAGGCTTGGCCAGCTCCTACCTACTGGGGGTGAGTCAGGATCAACTTTGAGGAATCTAGAAAGTTTTCTAGCTGATCAGAGACTGATCCCATCTTTACCATTTCATGTTCTCTTGACAACTAAATACTGATGATCCTAAATGCATCCATTTCAACTTGTTGACCAAATACTTTATAAAAATGCCTTTTGCAATTAACGTCTTTTAAACATCTGATAACATACCTGGAAAACATGACTGTCTTCAAAACTACCCCCTCCCCACAATTCTCTGCACAAATATGTGCGTGAAATAAAAACACATGTAGAGAAACACACAAACACAGATCACATAGGTAGATACACATAAAGAGAACATACCTACTGGGGCAAACATCACAGCCGTCTATATTATCTGCTAATATAAACATGCATGGGTATATGCACAAAGGCCTAAACATGGAAGAGAGAGAGAAAGAGAGAGAGAGAGACCCTAAAATTCATCCCTAAAATCCACCTAGGTTAGCGCTTTACCCCGCTTCCCGACTATGCCCATACTTACTTTCACAAAATAAAGATTCCATTATAAAATGGTTGGAGTCCTGGGCCTGAGGCAAGAAATCCGGAACACACCCTCCTGAGGGATCCCTCTCCAGCTTTGGTTAGTGGGAAGAAAACAACCACTCAGGACTTTGGGACCATTTCCCCATTCACATCTTTTCCTAAAGTCCCCTTCCCCATTCTAGCCCACGGAAGCCCGAGGAACCCTGTTCACCAGCCACAGAAAAAGCCGTATGGCTTGAGTCCGACTTTCCCCAGCTGAGGCTCCTTAGGCGAATAATGGTTTTCTTTAAAAGTTGCCTGAAGCCAGCACCAGACATAAACCATGATGTGAGCAGCCCCGAACCATTGTCAATTCAGGCCCAGTTTTAACACGTGCCCTTTCAACTGAGTTTACTGCTGTTGGAAGGCTAGACAGGCTGGAAACGGCTAAGTCACGGTCCTCCTGCCTCGGCCTCCCCCGAAGCGCTGGGATGACAGACATGCACCACACCCGGCCTCTCACTCCTTTCCAAAGGCTGGTGCTGGCTTGCTCCAGATCACTCAACATGGGTAAGGAGGGACCTGTTAAAACCTTGGTCCTAAGTGATGAGGGAGCCTCTTGGAGATCCATATTGGTCCCCGCCTCCTCCTGGAGCTGAGGTTGCCTCTGAGCCTAGGGGCTAGCTAGCTGGGGGATACTTGGGGACTGAGAGGAAAGCATTCTTTGTGGCCCTCCCAGTGAAGGGCTGGAAACAGGAGGGAATGCAGGAGCCTCGAGGCGCACCAGTAATCACAGAGGCTCTTTGATGCTGGTGTCATCCCTAGGATAAAGGTGAGAGGGGAGAGAGACTCAAGTCTATTTTCAAGGCACTAAAATCTAAGACAGAATTGGAATCTGTGTCAAAGGCCAGAAGGTCTTTGTGGGGCTCCAGGGATTTAGATTTTTAGCCTGAGGGTTGACAGGGACAAAAGTCAGATTTGGGAAACTCATCAGTTCCCAAACCTCTCAGCCCCAGAAACCCCAGTGAGGGAATTTCAAATGCCTGGGACTTCCAAGAAATCTCAGACTGTCAAAGCCAAGAATTGAGGCTGCTCTCAGGTATCAGAGACATTTTCTTGGTCAAAGCCATCATGGATTGGTGAAACCCCCAGGGAGCAAAGCTAAATTGTGAGGTTCACATCAGAGCAGCTAGGAGGTGGGGAAAGGGCAGAAAAGAGGGAGGGAAGGGATCGGGAAGCAGTCTACCAGCTAAATGCATCTCACACACCGAAGGAGACCAGCCCTCTTCTGCATCCCTTGAGTGGTTGCCCCTGGGGAATAGCCTGGAGCCTGGCAAGCCTCGGCACCTCTCTGGAAGGGACCTCATCTTCCTGCTTTCTCTTCTTGACCATGGGCTCCAGGTGGCAGGATGCTAGCCTGCTCTCAGGGACCAGTGAGGACATGAGCAAAGAAAGACATCCATCCTCGGCTCTATTGTGGGCAGGAGGCTGAGGCCCCTCACACCTCTGTTCCAGGATGAAGCATCTGCTGTCAAAGCTCCTCTTCCTCACCTCAGGTCTTTCTACTCTCCGTTCCCACCCAGGCCTGTTTCGGCATTCCACCCCTGACTGCTCTACCTCTGTCCCCAAGGCCTAGCCAAGATGTCACCACAAGCTCCCACTGTCCAAGTCACCGTCTTCGCTTAGCAACACCAAACACCCTTTCCCATCCTCCCCAAGTGCAAGGAGGAACGCCCCCTCCCCCGCTACACACACAGCTCCCATCCTTTCCCTCTCCTCAGGCTTGGGAGTTGTTACTGAATTGGCTCCCTAGCCCCATCACCCCCCTCCCCCCTCCGCTAGCCGCCTTCTGCCTGAACTTACATTATCCTTCCCTTGCCGGTGAGACCCTGGGGTGCGAACGCGGCCGCCGCCTTGGAAACGGCGAGGGAGTGCGGGTGGTGTGTGCATGTCTGCGTCTCGGTGGCAGGCAGGGGTGAGCCCAGCCACTCACCTTCCAGGAAGCGTGGATTCCTGGAAGTGAGGGGAACCGCCGTCATTTCGCAGGCAGTGGCAGCCGCACGGTGAGCAGGGGCCCACGGCTGCAGCCGGCAAGAACCGCTCAGCCCAGGGTGTATGTGCTAAGAGCCTGGCGTGTGTGTGTGTGTGTGTGTGTGTGTGTGTGTGTGTGTGTGTGTGTTGGAGAGAGAGAGGCGTGGATGTGCTTGGGGAGGGGGCAGGAGAAAATGTACAAGTGTGTGTGGTGGTGGTGGGGATGCTAGGCTACAACATTTCTTTTCTAAGACAGTGGAGGGGCGGGAGTGGAGGCACACAAGGAGGGGAGGCAGATGTGTTTGCCCTCCTGCCCAGGAGACAAAGAGGGACTGCACAACAAATGCTTGAGAGGGAGGCAAGTGTGTGTGTGTGTGTGTGTGTGTGTGTGTGAGAGAGAGAGAGAGAGAGAGAGAGAGAGAGAGAGAGAGAGAGAGAAGAGGCAGGCTTGTGGGGACGAGGAAGGGGGGGGGGTGTCCCAGGGAAGGCCCAATCCTCTGCCAGCTAGGGAAGCCAAGGCCCCAGAGGTCATGGGGCCCAGGACACAGGGGCAGCCTCCAGGCTCTAGAAGTGGCAGAAAACTCCACCCCTCCCACCCCCAACAGCAAACTCAGTCTCCTGTCCATCTCCTCCTCCTCTTGACAATCCCACCCGGGCCCCCCTCCGCCCTCAGCATCACAGTCTAGCCTGGCTAGTGGAGATCTGTGACCCTGAGCTCTTTTTGATCGCTGGTTCCCTGGTTCCGTCTCCCTGCCTCTCCTCCCTCCTGTGCCCCTGGGGCTCCAGCCGCTGGAGTCCTGGATGAATCTGTCCTCTTTCAGGATAAAGTCCTTGCTCCCTTCCCTTCCAGAGAAACTGCTCACTACTGAACTGACCTACTTTGGAAGACTGGATTTTCTGATTCCAAGAATCTGGGGGTGGGAGGGGCCATGAAACTTTGGGTTACCAATCCTTGCATCCTTCCCTCCTCAGGTTCTCCTGAAATGTTGTCCAGCACCAAGATACTCAGGGCAAGTACTGTTCCCTCAGACCTCAGCTGCTTGCTTGATTTCGGCAACTCAGTTTCTGGTTTGGGGGTTGTGGGGGTAGGGTGGGAATCTGTGCAGTAAATCTTGCTTTCCTCCCCCTCCTCCCCATGGGAATTATCTGTACCTTTAGAAAGGAAGGGGGCAGGGGCTTTCAGTAGGTTCTGTGAGGTGATAAAAATCCCTGAAGAACAGGAGAACTCCCCGTTTATCAGGGTGGCCAGTAAGGAAATCCATCTACCCGCAGGCAGAGCTATGATGACCCAAGAAGGGGTCGGTTAAAGGCTAGACATGGGGGGGGGGGGGAGGCAGCCCTCTGTTTCTGGATCAGCCTGGGAGGGGTGGGGATCAGTAATGGGTTCTTAGATACCTCAGTTGCTCCATCTTGGCCCTGTCTAGCCCTGAAGGGGGCACTCTTTAGACTTAATGTCAGTCCTGCCCTGACTTTTCAGAGGGTAGCTACTGACATCTAGAGTTCTCAAAACACACAGGCGCCATGGTTTGGGCTTCTTACTCACAAACCTTCTGTGCAGAGGCCACTTCTCAGCTAAGCAATGTCAACCACCTTAAGCAAGGAAAGCTAGGTTTCCTGGTGCAGCGAAGCAAATGATCCCACAATTCCCTGCTGGTGTCCACCGTTCTCCAGAAACACTGCTCACTGGGCAGAGCCCATGGGGCATGTCCCCTGCCTGCTCCCCAGCTTCTCATTGCCTACCATACGGCAGGAATTGGGTTTTATCCATCTGATGGTAACCATTCATCGCTAAATGCTCCATGCTCTTTTTGCTCAGTAGTATAGACTTGACCAAACCAGAGGTGGGAGAATTTGCTAGTTCCTCAGAAGGGCCTTTCTTCTTTCCTTCCTTTTTTTTTTTTGGTTTTGAGACAGGTTTCTCTGTAGCCCTACTTGTCCAGGAACTAGCTCTGTAGACCAGGATGGCCTCAAACTCACAGAGATCCGCCTGCCTCTGCCTCCCAAGTGCTGTGATAAGCTAACACCACCAGGTCTGAAGGGCCTCTTTCAATTGAATCAGCCCATCTGAACTGTGTCATTCTGCCCAGCATGCGGCAAGCACTGCATGCCTGTACCTAATCCAGTTTACATCCAGGAATCAGCATCTTTCTGTGATTGCCCAGATGAGGACCATGGGTTTTAGGTGTGTCTGACTGGCTCTGTGATTGCCCAGATGAGGACCATGGGTCTTAGGTGTGTCTGACTGACTCTGTGATTGCCCAGATGAGGACCATGGGTCTTAGGTGTGTCTGACTGACTTTGCTATTTCCATCAGTGCAGGTCAACAATCCCTCCATTGGTTCCACTTTAAACAAAATTAGTAAAAACACCTTATAGTTCATTTCCACAGTAGTATCTGGACTTCTTTTATTGAGACAGATTTTTGTTTGTTTGTTTAGTTTGCTTTGGTTTTTCAAGACAAGGTTTCTCTGTGAAGCTTTGGAGCCTATCCTGGAACTCATTCTGTAGACCAGACTGGCCTCGAACTCACAGAATCCGCCTGACTCTGTGTTCTGACTCCTGGGATTAAAGGCGTGCGCCACCACCGCCCGGCTGAGACCTGCTCTTAATATGCAGTGTAAGCCTTGAGTTCATGAACCTCCTACGTCTAGCTCCTGGGTGCTGAGATCATGGCTACCACAGTCGCTGGTTGCTGATGCTTTCAGGTAAGGGCTGTGATACACCCTTGGCTGGCCTGGAACTGCTTGTGCAGACCAGGCTGGCCTTGAACTTATAGATATCTGCCTGCTTCTGCTCCACCTTGCCAGGCTCAGCCATTTTATTTTTAACTTTAGTTAGGATCTTGGCTCACAATTCTGGATGATTCAGAACTCATGATCTTGTGTTAACCAAATACTAGAATTATAGCTGCATGATACCATATCATACCATACCTGTTTCTTTGATCCTGAGACTCTAAAAGTTAATATATATGTATATAAGACATATATATATGTGATAGTACATATACACATATATATGTGTATACACACACCCATACAAATATTATGGTGGTTTTTTGAGACAGGGTTTCTCAGTGTAGCCTTGACTGTCCTGGAACTCGCTTTGTAGGCCAAGCTGGCTTGAACTCACAGAGATTCGCCTGCCTCTGCCTCCCAAATGCTGGGATTAAAGGAGTGTGGTGCCATCACTGCCTCGCCAATATTTTTCTTTTTTCTTTTCTTTCTTTGGTTTTTTGAGACAGGGTTTCTCTGTATAGCTTTGGAGCCTGTCCTGGAACTTGCTCTGTAGGCCAGGCTGGCCTCGAACTCACAGAGAGATACATCTACCTCTGCCTCCTGAGTGCTGGGATTAAAGGCAAGCGCCACCACTGCCCAGCCCACTTTAAGGCTTTTGAAGATGGTCCACTCTACTTGGATGGGACAGAATTCTGTTCTGGTGACCTTATAACACAGGAGAAAGAACCACATTTTCCTCCCACCCAATTGCTCTGGATCGTCCATTTTATAGTCCCCATCTTTATTCCGTTCCCTCTCCACGGTACAGAAAAGAACCACCATTAGGAATATAAGACCACAGGGGATTGCACACTACCTCCAAGCACGGCCGCCCTGAGGGGCAGCTGCGACTGACATTTAGTCAAGGAGAAGTCGTGTGCGGGGGCTGAAGGCTCTCTGCCTTCATCCACAGGACAGTGTCTGCTCCCACGCCCATCCGAACGGAACACACAGTAGGCATACCAGACATATAGGAGCGGCCATTGCAGTCTTCTATGTCCATCCTAAAAAGATCCTGTTGAAAGAGGAGAGACTGGCTGTTAGAGCCATAGATGGGGAAGGATGAGGTGCTTTTTTTGCTTGTTTGTTTTTGTTTTTTACATTTCGGAATAAATAAATCTAAAGGGACAGAACAAAAACTGTTTTTTTTTTGGTTGGGTTTTTTTTTTTTTTTTTGGTCCTGGGAAGTAGACAATGCATCCTGACTTATAAACGCAGAGATTTCCTTCAGCTCACGTTTTATCTATCTATCTATCTATCTATCTATCTATCTATCTATCTATCTATCGATCGATCGATCGATCGATCTATCTATCTATCTATTCGCTGAGACTCGCAGCCCTGGCTGGCCTGGAGCTCACTGTATGCATGCCTGTCTCTGCCTTGTAAGTTCTTTAGGACTCTTAAGCCTCTGAGATAGACACAGTCATGTTAGCTGAGTGGCTCTGGATTTTGGGGTGTGCCCTTGCTCTTCAGTGGGTTACAGTTCTGCCCTAGAGAAGCAAAGAAACAGCGTGGCAGAAGGGGCAGACTTCAGCTAAAGGGTAGGAGGGAAAAGAAGCTGAGTCGGATGGACCATGGGTGCCTGCAATGCCTACACTAGGAGGCGAGGGCTACAGGATCCTGGGTTCCAGGTCAGCCTGGACTATGTAATGAGATTTAGGTAGGGGGAAAAAGCCAAACTCAGTTATTTATAGGTATTTTTCTTTTGGGGTGTGTGTAGCAGAAGGTAGGGGACAGGAGAGAAGCCCCCCTCAAGATTCACTGACAACTCTGTTGAAGGTATAATAAACATTTTATCTACGTGTACTGAAGATCAAATCCATGGCCTCACCCATGCTAGGCAAACGCTGTACCACCTCTATGCCCCATGCCTAAACTTACAGGCTTTCGATATAACTCTGGCTGTCCTGGAACTTTCTATATAGACCAGGCTTCAGGCTGGCCTCAAACTCATAGAGATCTGCCTGTCTCTGTCTCCCAAGAGCTGAATTAAAGTCCTGCATCACCACACCTGACTCCCATGCCTAGGCTTTCCCTGGTTGATGGGTTTTTTTTGTGTGTGTGTGTGTTTTCACAGTGTGGAGACTGTGGTGTGTGAGATCGTACACCTCAGGCCCCTTTGCTATTGTCTCATACAGAGTAAGAGGTTTTCCTATTCATATTTATTTATTTATTATGTATACAATATTCTGTCTGTGTGTTGCAGGCCAGAAGAGGGCACCAGACCTCATTACAGATGGTTGTGAGCCACCATGTGGTTGCTGGGAATTGAACTCAGGACCTTTGGAAGAGCAGGCAATGCTCTTAACCTTTGAGCCATCTCTCCAGCCCCCCCACCTCCGGTTGATGTTTATTCTATTTTTTTTGTTTGTTTTTGTTTTTCAAGACAGGGTTTCTTTTTTTTTATTTTTTTGGTTTTTCGAGACAGGGTTTCTCTGTGGCTTTGGAGCCTGTCCTGGAACTAGCTCTGTAGACCAGGCTGGTCTTGAACCCACAGAGATCCGCCTGCCTCTGCCTCCCGAGTGCTGGGATTAAAGGCGTGCGCCACCATCGCCCAGCTTTTATTTATTTATTTATTTATTTATTTTTTTGGTTTTTTGAGACAGGGTTTCTCTGTGGCTTTGGAGCCTGTCCTGGAACTAGCTCTGTAGACCAGGCTGGTCTCAAACTCACAGAGCTTCACCTGTCCCTGCCTCCCAAGTGCTGGGTTTAAAGGCATGCACTACCACCGCCCAATTTATTTTATTTTTAAATTATTCATTTATTTTTGTTTGTTTGTTTTTCAAGATAAAATTTCTTTGTGTAGCCCTAGCTGTCCTGGAACTTGAGCTGTAGATCAGGTTGGCTCGAATTCACAGAGAACCCCCACCTCACCCGTCTCTTCCTACCAAGTGCTGGGATTAAAAGCATCTACCCCTCTACCACTGCCTCCTGGCTTCTTTTTAACTTCTCTCTCTCTCTCTTTCTTTCTTTCTCTCTTTCTTTCTTTTTGTCTTGTTTTTTGAGACAGGGTTTCTCTATAACTTTCAAGCCTGTCCTGGAACTAGCTCTGTAGACCAGGCTGGTCTCGAACTCACAGAGATCCACCTGCCTCTGCCTCCTGAGTGCTGGGATTAAAAGTGTGCACCACCACTGCCTGGCTCTTTTTAATTTTTAAAAATATGTTTAAATTTTGATTTGGTGTGTATGAGTGTTATGCCAGTATGTATGTATTTGCACCACATGGGTGCAGTATCTGAGAAGGCCAGAAGAGGGCAGTGAATCACCCAAAACCGGAGTTACAGATGTTTATGAGCCAACATGTGGGCTTTGGGACTGAACACAATAATTGCTCTTAACCTCTGAACCATTTCTCCAGCCCCACTATGTTTATTTTAAAGAAAAAAAAGTGCATACATCTGTTAACACTTAGGAAGAAGAAGGAGGAGGATCAGGGGTTCAAGACTAACCTCAGCTACATAGTGAGTATGAGGCCAGCTTGGGCTACATGAAATCCTGTCTCAAAAAATAAATAATTAAGAAAGAAAGAGTTGGTTTTTGTTTTGATTTGATTTTGTTTTTTTCTGTGTAGCCCTAGCTGTCTTAGAACTCAAGACGTAGACCAGGCTAGCTTTGAACTCACAGAGATCTGCCTGCCTTTGTCTTCTGGGTCCTGGGATTAAAGGTGTGGGCCACCACCGCCTGGTGAGAGAGAATTTTAAAATGCATGCTAGTTTGTTTTTGAGAAATTAAATAGCAGAGTATTAAACAATCAAGGTGATAATTTATTGCAGTGGAGTCCTTGGGAGGAGGACAAGAAAAAATTATATTTAGAGGTAGGCATGGTGGTTTATGCCTGTGATCCCAGCACTTGGGAGACAAAAATAAATGGGTCTCTTATTTCAAGGCTAGCCTGGTGTATGAAATCTAGTTCTAGGCTATATAGTAAGACCCTGTTGGGGGGGGGGGGAAGAGAAAGAGAGAGAGAGAGAGAGAGAGAGAGAGAGAGAGAGAGAGAGAGAGAGAAAACTGGGAGGTGGTAGCACATACCTTTAATCCCAGCACTCAAGAGACAGAGGCAGGCAGATCTCTGTGAGTTTGAGGCCAGCCTGGTCTACAATTGGAGTTCCAGGACAGCCAGTGCTACACAGAGAAATGCTATAGAAAAAGATCTTGGGGCTGGAGAGATGGCTCTGTGGTTAAGAGCCCTGGTTGCTCTTCCAGAGGACCTGGGCTTAATCCCCAGTGTTTGCATAGCTGCTCAAAGCTGTCTGTGATTCTAGTCCCATGAATCGCATGCTCTCCTCCAGCCTCTGTGGGCACTGCACACACGGAGCGCAGACATTCATCTAGGCAAACACTCTTACATATAAAATAAAAATAAAATCCCCAAAGAAAACCCAGATGTCCTCCTTGGAACTCCAGGGGCACTGCACACACACGGTGTACTTTACATACACGTAAGCACACATATGCATATAATGAAATAAATGCATCTTTAAAATAATCTATGTGGTGGAACTTTATTTTTAAATATAATTTATTTATCTTTATTTTATGTGTATTGTTCTTTTGCCTATATGTATGTCTGTGTGAGGGCGTTAGATCTTGGAGTCACAGACAGTTGTGAGCTGTTATGTGGGTGCTGGGAATCGAACTCATATCTTCTGGAAGAGCAGTCAGTACTCTAACCACTGGGCCACCTCTCCAGCCCCAGGAAATTTATATACATCCCAAATTGCTTTGCCACTCTCCTAGTAGAGATAAAAGCCTCAGGGGCAGCTCTGTAGAAATGAAAGTGAACCGAAGCTTGGAAACAACCTGCGATGCACCAGGGTCGGGGAAAGGTTTCACGAGCACAGGTAGATGACGGCGTGGGTTAGTCATGTTATCTTAAGGGAACGCGGTCGGGCTCACAGGGAGAAGCGTCTGCTTTCCTGCCCCTACCTTCTGCTAAAGCACGAAATGCAGGCTGTGTTTACTCTTGCAAAGCAATTCTCCCTTTCATCTCACCAGAGGTTCCTAGCATCAACCTTAGGGATCCTGGCGGTGTGGGAACAATTCTAAGATTATTTCCAACTCCTCTTGTCTTGACCTCCTGGGATGGTCTGAACTTTGGAACCAGAATTTTAAAACAAGCCACGGTTCTGAGCTGCGTTTCCAGTTCCAACGAGCCACCACGAGTCTAAGTGGTTGCTGAAACTTCCCCAGGGGGCAATGATTAGAAGAATCGGAGTGTGCACGGTCAGACAACTCACACCCTTTGGAACTACCACAAATCTCGAGGTGGTCAGAGATCCCAAGGCACAGGAGACCAGGCTCTGCTCAGAAACCATCAACTCCACCAATGGCCTTTGGGATCTCTTTCAAAAACAACTACAAAGATCAAAGTGTTACGCATGACTGTCCTCAAATGTCCCCTCCCTGGTGCAGAAGGGAGAGGCTGTTCCCGTTTTCTGTCTGGAAAAACTGAGCCTTAAAGCAGTTAAGCCGATGCCCCAAGGCTTGTCCGTCAACACTGAAACTAGAGTTAGAACACAACTCTCCTGTTCTCTGAGGCACGCTCTTCCTTTAAAGATTTATTTGTTTTTATTATTTTTAAAGTGTGTGTGCACACGCGTGCACGTGAGTGCAGGTGTCCTGGGAGGCCAGAAGCACTGGACTCTCCTGGAGCTGGAGTTACAATTGCGTGCTACCCAATGCAGGCGCTGGGTCCTCTGCAAGTACAGCCACGGAGACACTCACCACTCCGCGTCCCTGAGGTGCGCTCTTTCCTTTACACTGGATGGCTTCCTTTGAGAAGCTAGGCCAGGGCTGGGGCTACAGCTCAGTTGATGAAGTGCTTGCCTAGCCTGCACAAAGCTGTGAGCTGAATTCCTGACACAGTGGCTCACCTGTGATTTTAGCTAGCGCTCAGGAGATGGAGGCAGGAGGATGGAAGTTTAAAGTCATTCTCAGATACAACACTGAGTTTAAGGCCAGCCACCCTGGGCTCCAGAAGACTTTGTCTCAAACAATATAAAACAAAGCAAA